GAGCAGGCATGGGGTCTAGCAGGGCTACCAGTGATTAGGATTCATGTTCCCCAGCCAGAGCCAGTCAGTAACAAAAGTACTAGAGGAATCCGGGCATAGTGGTATAAGCCTGTAATCCCAATGATTGACAGAGAGAGCAAGATTAGGAATTGGAAGTTATCATTAGTACCTATAGAATCTGAAGCCAGCCTGGACTATAAGACTCTGTCTTAAAACCAACAAACCAAAGCTAACTAAAACTCCAAACAGCAGAGAGAGGTCATGGAGGCAGGTGTTCACAGTTCACTTTTGTTTGACACAAGAACTTGTAGACCTAACCAATTTTCTGTTACATTCAGTGAAATAATTTTTTGTGACTATTAAGAGTTTCATTGAGCAATACAGTAAGTTGAAGAGGAGATTGAGTTTCTCAGTTTCTGTGACCTCAAACTCAGTGACTTGTGAGTTCCTTCCTTTGCCTTGGCTATCTGCAGAATCTGGAAGACTTCATACAAGAGGAGTAGGTAACTAAATTGGTCACCCCACCACTCACTGGACTTTAGGACACAGTAGAGTCTCTTCTGGGGGCTCCCCTCTACAAGGGTGCAGGGAGGTGCTCGTGCTGAGGTTGGGAGATGAAGATGATGATGTCATGCTAGGAGAGAAAGAAGGGTTCAGGTGGGGTCAGGGCAACGGTACTACCATAAAGTCCTAGTGCAGCCTGAGTGTCCTGTCTACACCACAGGTCATCATCTTCCACCCTCTCTCTAGCACCCCTCAACTCTCTTCACACCCAGTCTGGATGTCTCCTTGCATGATGTGTCTGCATATGTATTCAGGTACATATGTGTGCAAGCGTGTGCTCCCTATGTGGAGGCCAGAGGACAACCTCAGGTGTTACTACTCAGGACACATTCCACTTTGGATTTCGTTGCTTGTTTTGGATTTTTTGAGCAACTGAGGACCTGGAACTGGATATATAGACTAGGGTAGGCTCAAACTCACTGAGATCCACTCGTGTTTGTCTCTGACTCTGCCTCTGTCTCCCCAAAGCTGGACTTAAAGGTATGGACCACCATGCCTAGCCCCCTTTAAGTTTTAACTTTTAAAATTACACATATTTATTCTGCGGGTGAAGGACACACTTGTGCTATAGCCTAGGCAGCATCCAGGTTCTAACACTGCAGTCTGACACTCCCTATGGTCACACGTGCGCAAAAGCCCCATGTGTGCACACTACAGACCCAGGCTGCTCTTCCACAGAAAGTGCCCATCCTCTGTGAAAGTGTCATGGCTGCAGGGTCCAGTTACTGCTGTAGGGGAAACATGGTTCTCACTGCAGGAGACTGATTACAGCATCCTGGACAGAAACCATCCCACAGCAGGGTCCCTGTGGGGATCTAGCAGAGCCCAGGACTTGAAACTAAACAGAGCATATGACTTGGGATTCAGGGGCCAGCAGGTGGCAGCAGTGAGGTTGAGCACCTATAAACCCCACCAGAACCTGCTGTATAAAAATGCTGGATTTAGCTAGCCATTGGTGGTACATACATTTAATCCCAGCACTAGGGAGGCAGAGACAGGTGAATCTCTGTGAATTCGAAGACAGGCACCAAAGCTACAGAGAAACCCTGTCTCAAAAACAAACAAACAAACAAAAATGCTACCGTCCAGGAGCTGACATAGGTCAGGCCTAAAGAAGTCAGCCCCTCCTAGAGACTCTGCAATTAGGTGACCTTTTACCCACAGACCCCAGACAGTAGGGCAAGGCCAGATGAAGCCTGGAGTGAGGCTTGGTTCCTGCATCTGCACAGACATCTGGAGCCCTAGAATCCTGGACCAACAGGAGAAGGACTAGACCACGTATTTCTGTAAACACAACAGGAGGCTTGTAGATTGGTGGTCGATTGATGGGACCCAACTGCCCATCACCCATGGTGAGCCACCCTGGTTCTGGTTTGAAGCCTCTGACTTCCCTGTTCCCTTGATGTCACCTCAGGCTCCCATCTCCCCTCTCCCCTTCCCCGTTGTCACCTCTCCACACAGGCCCAAAGTCTCTTCAGAACAATGTCCCCATTTTCATGATGTGGCTGCTGTGTCTTCTGATCCTTGCCTCTCCTCAGAAGCAGAAGTGACTGCAGTCCCATGCACTGGGAGCACTGAGCCCCGGCCTGGGCACTGTGTTGCTGTTACCCGTGCGTCTTTCACAAGGTCCTGCAGGAGCTGGGGACTCTGTGCTTCGCTGTTACTCACAACCTTGCTCTGGCCGTGTTTACTCAGGATGAGGACTCCGTAGGCAGGTGTTGGATGATCAACTGTGAAAGGTGCCTTGCATAATAGTGTGTCGGAGAGTGTGTATGTGTGTGTGTGCACATGTCTGCACGTGTGCCCATGCACATGCAAGTGTATGTGTTTGCAAGTGTGTGCTCATGCATCTGGAGACTAGAGAGCAACATCCGGCTTTACCATTTCAGACACCGTGTACCTGGACATTTCATTCGTGAGTTTGTTTTGCTTATTTGTTTGTTTTGTTTCTTTTTTTTTTTTTTACCAGTCTGTTTTGGTGGTTCTGCTGTATTTTTGTTTGTTGTGTTGAGACAAGGTTTCATTAAGCAATCCTGGCTGGAACTCAATATACCAACCAGGCTAGATTCACGCTAACAGATGTCCACTTGCCTCTGCCTCCCATATGCTAGAGAGAAGGCGTGTGCCACCGTGGCCACATTAATTTTATAAATTATATTTACTTAATTATTGCAAAAGGAGGGCACACTCACTTTGCAGCCCGAGTAGCGGCCAGGTTCTAACACTGCAGTCTGTCACTCCCCATGGTCACATGTATGTAAAAGCCCCATGTGTGCACCCCACTGCCCAGGCTGCTCTTCCACAGAAAGTGCCCCTCCCCTGTGAAATCATCGTGGCTGCAGGGCCCAGTCACTGTTCTTGGGGGGGGAAATGGTTCTCACTGCAGGAGACTGATCACAGCATCCTGGAGAGAAGTCATCCCACAGCAGGGTCCCTATGGGAATCTACTGAGTCCAGGACTTGAAACCACAGAGCCCATGACTTGGATTGAGGGGCCAGCAGGTGGCAGCAGTGAGGCTGAACTCAAGGGGAAGCTAGGCTCCTGAAGAACCAATCAGAGCCTGCTGTATAAAAATGCTGGAGACCAGCAGCTGACATAATGCAGCCTCATGGGGCCCAGCCCCTCCTTGAGAGACTTAGCCATCGAGTGACCTTAACCTCCAGACCCTGGACTATAGAGCAAGGCCAGATGACCTGGAGGTGACACTCATGACCAAGAGGGCCTCTTCTCAGACCCGCTAAGGCTAAGGACAATGCTCAACTGCTAGAGAGCTTACTGCCTGGCATGCACAGAACCCTGGGTTCTATCTCCAGCAGAGGACAAAGGAGCACGATGGGGCACCCCTGTCACTCAGAACATGGGAGGGCAGGGAGCAGGAGCTGTAGGAGTTCAAATCATCCTTGGCTACATAACAAGTTCAAGGCCCAGCCTGGGCTACATGAGACCCCATTCAATAAGGGTGGACTTTCTGACAGATATGATAGGCCCAGTCCCCTTTCTCGACTGATGGACTGTTTGGGCCTAAATCATCCCAAAGGTTGTGTGCTCAGTGTCTCCAGTGATGGATGGACATAGAAGTGCGTCCATGTGCAGCAGGAAGTGCGGCCATGAGAGTTTGTGCCTGGCTCAGGTCAAGGGATCAGAGGATCATGGGGACTGTGAGGAAGGCAGAGAAAGCAGACATGACAGAGGCGGCTGCACATGCACCTCAGGGAGCATGGAGAAGGCAGTCAGTGCCAGGAGATCTAAGGAAATGGGAAGTCACCGCTGCCCATGTCACTACGGCAGAATGATACCACTTCCTCTGGTACAATCTTGTGTTCCTGCTCTTCAGAGAACTGACGTCACCTGGTTATGAGAAAGAGTGAGATGACCTCCTACAGAATCAGCCCTGAGGACACCACAGCCTCTGCCCCCACCTCTCACGCATACACCCCAGCCACAGTCCAGCTGTGTCTATTCTCAGAGATGTCCCAGGCAATATATCAATAATGACACACTGCTGCTCTGAGCCTTCTTTCCCACTTCATGCAAAGAAGGTTCTAGAACAAACATAGAAGGAATCACTCAAGTGTTTACTAGGAACAGCCTCCTGGGAGCCCAGCAGCAGATCCTTGGCCTTAGAGGGGGGTTCAGAGGCTGCACCGAGCAGGCAGCCGGAAATCTATGTACAGTGGTGGAATACAAGAACTCCATGGGACTGAAGCCCAGGCTTCTGCCGTGTACCAGTCATGTGACATGTGCCAGGCCTTCTCTGACCCTTGGTTTCCTCTACTGAGTGTGTGTTAAGGGTGGTGGGAGGCAGAAAGGCTCCTTCAGGACCTGGAGTAGCTTGGGAGTCACTGTCGAGGTGAGGGAGACGGTCACCCAGGAAGCCCAGGCAAGTTACAGACTCAGCAGCAGCAAGCAGTCAGGGCGAGAATGTCCAGTGGACACTGGTTTCCCTGGTGTGCAGTGAGGAGTCCCTGAGGGAAACAAGAGGTCTAAGAGCAGATGAAGGTGGGGCCACCATACATACTAGGGCTGGAGACTGAATGTGTTTCCTCATCGCCTCCTTTCTCATTATGTCTGAAGTGAGCAGAAACCAATCAGTTCTTCACCTATGATCATTAGAGAGAAAGACACAGACAACCAGCACGAGGGGAGACATAGTGAGAAACAGGCTGAGGGGAGGGCAGGAGTGGAGGAAATGGGAGCTGAGGAAACAGTGATTGCAGGCTGCACGGGGAATGGGAAAGACTGCATGAGACAGGAGGTCAGGGTGGAAGAGAGGAGAGCCCAGAGTGCAAAAAATGGGGGCTGGGCTCATGGGCACAGTCATCTCAGTGACCACAACGTCGGATATTCTGCAATAAGGGAAAGACGAAGCCAGAATGATAAAGAAAGTTGCTGGCCACGAGGAGGTGGAGATGGGGAGGAACTGCCCACACTCAGTCCTCCACATACGGCCCAGGATATGGAGATCATTTTTGTTCTGATTGTCTTCTGAATCCTGACCACCCCAGCAACGCTCCACAGGACCTGTTCTTTCTCCTGATGTCTCTGCTGGTCTCTCTTACTGGAGGGATTCCAGACATGGCCTGGCTCCTGCTTCTGCTGCTGCCAGCAGCATGCCTGCAAGCTGGTGAGTGGTGGGGACCTCACTACTGGGGACTTAACCACAGGAGGGGTGAGTGGGTCTGGGAAGAGTCGGCTGGCATGTGGGGAGGTGACTGCTCTAGGAGCCAGCCTGACCTCTGTGCCCCAAGAGAAAGCTCATCCTCAGAGTTGGTCCACCCAAACCTTTCCCCATCTTCCTGTACCATATGTAACAGTGGGACATAGGGACAGTCCTTTCCTGTGTCCCACACCTGCCTATGGATTCTCAGGAAACTCTGGGTTGTCATTTCCATCTTCGAACGTGGCTTCAGATTCTCCTCATCCTTCTCAGGGAACCCAGCAGGATACAACAGAGAAAGTATTTATGGACTTAATCAGCCAACACGCATCACTGGTGTCCTGGGCAGCTCCATCGAGATCCCCTTCTCCTTCTACTTCCCTGGGGAGTTGGCACCAGATCCACAGATGAGGATTCTCTGGAGATGGAAGCACTACCATGGGGAATTTATCTACAACCCTTCTTCGGGTTTCATCCATGAGCATTTCAAGGACCGGCTCATCCTGAACTGGACACAGCCTCAGACATTCGGAGTCCTCAGAATCCTGGGCTTGAAGGAGAAGGACCAGACAGTGTACTTCTGCCGAGTTCATCTGAAAATGACAAATTGCATAGAGGGTTTTCAGTCGATCGATGGGACCCAACTCACCGTCACTCCTGGTGAGCCACCCTGGCTCAGGCTTTGATGCCTCTGGCTTCCTTGTCCCCTAGTTGTTACCTCAGGCTCCACAATTCTGACCTTGGTTTCAAATTCCTTTTCCTTGGCTCTGACACAGGATCTTTCCACTCTGGTTGTGACAAGTCTTTGCTGTCTCCTCTGACCCTGTCTGTCATTCTCTGCTCAGATGGAACCCCAACTCACTCTAGATCTCAACATGAGTCCTTTCCTCTAGTTCACCCCCTTTCTGGCCCAACTAACACTACAGTTCAGGTCACTTTCCCCTTCCCCATGACTTTGAGGTGGATTGACTTTTCCAGGATGTAGCTGACTCACTTGGTCCTGTGTCAGGGCTCCAGTTAGTCCCTTATGGAGTATCTCCACACAGCTCCAATCTAAGCCCAGAACATGCAGTAGATGCCCACTGGATGTTCCTGGTGTCCTACAATGCCACTGTAAACTGACATCTGTCACCACAGTCCCCTATATCCTGTCCTTGCTCCGAATGAAAGACCCTACAGACCCCCCCCCCAAAAAAAAACCTGCAACTAGCCGGCTCTCATGAGAACATCCTGTTTGCTTGAGACCCTCAGGACCCTCTCAGGACCTGCAGCTAGCCACTTTCATGAGAACATCCCGGTCGCGTAGGAAAACAGGATGCCTATAGTCAGCACATGTGCCAAACTTAAAATATCAGCAGTTTACAAAAGAAACAATTCCCCCTATAAAGGACCCCAGCTTAACTGCTGTAACATCATTTTACAAGGCTCTTGACAAACAATTGTAAGTACAGAGTGAGGTCAGGGCCTCTGGCTGCAAAGCAGGATACATCTGTGCTGGGAAAGGAAAAACCACTTATGCCCCCTGCCTCATTCCAACCAGACCAATAACCATACATCTGCTTCTATAATCTGCGTTGGCCGCCCTCTTTCCTATAAAAAGACCTCCCCCCAGTCTGCAGGCGCGCAAGTCCTCTGAAAGACTTTGTCGCCCACAGGTACCTGTGTTTACCCAATAAACCTCTTGCTATTTGCATCCGTGTGGTCTCGGCCTGTTCCTTGGCTTCGGGGAGTCTCCCCTCGAGGGAAGTCCTTTTCGAGGGTCTTTCACCAAAAACATCCCTCACCTCTCCCTACCCACTCTCTGGTTCAGGAAATCAAGAGATAAGGCACCTCAGGAATGATTCTAACCCTTTTAGCTGCCGGGGTTTCCTGTCTTAAGTCTGAACCCCTGTAGCATAGGGAGGGCCCTTTTATTGTTCGCCAGCTTACATATTTTAGCAAGTTGATTTCTGCACCCCAACACCTCTCATCTAAGCTGCCCGAATCCTCAGATGAAAAACACTTGAGGTGTTCTGAGCACTGCTTCAACCAAATTTACATAGGCTTTGCACCTTCAGAAAATTCTCAGGCAAAGAGAGGACAGGGGACAAAATGTAGCAGATACAAAAGGCAGATTAAGGTGAGGTGCTAACACTATGGAGTCAAACCAGGTGTAAATCTGTGGGAATTCTCCCTACAACTCTGTTATAGGGTCTTCATTTCCAAGTCTTCTCTCCTCTTCCTTGCCCGCTTGCCCTCACCTCTCCCACACAACCCCAAGGGTCTTGGGGACTAATGCCCCCATTTTCATGATGTGGCTGCTCTGTCTTCTGATCCCTGCCTCTCCTCTGAAGCAGAAGTAACTGCAGACCCATGCACTGGGAACACTGAGTGGAACTCTATGTTACTGTTACCCCTGCACCCCTTTAAATGGCCCTGCAGGAGCTTGGAACTCTGTGTGCTTCCTTGTTATGTTCTTCTTTTCTTTTATATTGTGGTGTTTTGGTTTTTATTAGACAGGGTCTCACCATGTAGCGCTGGTTGTTCTGGAACTTACAGAAACCTGTTACTTCTGTCTCCCAAGTGCTGAGATAAAGGCCTGTGCCACCCATCCAGCAGTGGCTGTTGACTGGATTAAAGCCAACCTGTGAGAGGATGCCCACAGCACAGCTCTTGTGCAGTCTCTACGGCCGCCATGTTGACCTGATGTAATGTCTAACCACAGCTGCCAGGGCTCAGGGAAGGGAGAGAAAGGAGATGCTTCCTGGGTCTAGAGCAGTGATTCCCAACCCTCTTAATGGAGACACCTATTAATATAGTTCCTCAAGTTCTGGTGAACCCCCCCCCTTATTTTTATAGCTGCTTCATAACTATAATTTTGCTACTGTTATGAAATGTACTGTAAATATCTGATTGCATGTTATCACGTTATTCTACCACTGTGGGGGGAGCAAACCACAGGCTGGGAACTTTTGGTCTAGTGTTTCCAATAGATAAGTGTAGGAACTGACCTTAGTGGGGGATTGCAAAGCAGATGAATGTATGCTGCCCTGTACTGAGGTGGACAGCTAGGATCAAAATTATATATTTTCTGTTTTACATTTTGTGTATTTTGGGTGTGTGATCATGAGGGTCTGTTAATTCAGGTGTGAGTGTGTGTGTGTCCCTCTCTTGTGTGTATGTATGTAAATATGTACTCTTTGACAATTCTTCATATGCATTCAGAGGCTAGAAGAAAAATTCAGGAGCCGTTCCCTTACTTTTTGAGACAAGGTCACTCACTAGCTTCAAGTTTACCAAATAGACTAGGCTGGCTAACCAGTGAGCCCCAGGGACATGCCTGTCTCCCCTTCCTTTTACTGGGACACAACCCACTCAACTCTGTTTGGTGTGGAACTAAATATAGAGACAGGCTGGCTATAACTCACATAGATCTGCCTGCCTCTGCCTCTAGGGCTAAGATTAAAGGCCATGCCCAGCTCACCAGGCTCTTCAAATGGATTCTAGGGATCAAACTCGGGGTCTAAAGTTCCTGAGAGCAAACACGATACAGACTGAGACATCTGCTTGTTCCATGCATTTATGACCCAAACAACTGTATTACTATAGCTTGATTATCTGTGACTAAATGTAAATCTGAGGACACACAGCCAGGACAGGTGGAGGGTGTGCACTGAGCTTGCTCTCCTGGAGTCTCAGCCTTCAGCATGTGTTCCCCTCTGTGAACTTCTAACAGCTGCTCCCCATCCCACCTCCTACAGAGAAGAGATGTGACACTCACTCCATCCCTCCTCATCCAGGGAGGATCTGCTCACTCCCCATCTCTCCCCAGCAGTCAGCACCCCCATGCAGAGCCCCTCCATCGTCACCTCTGCAGTCACCACAGCTGGACTGGAGGACACAGAGGGCCAGAGGAATCCTTCACTTGTAAACCTGGAAGCCACGTTTGGGGTGATGGTGACCATGGCTGTGCTCATAACCCCCGTCTATGTCATGATGATCTTTCTCTTATATAAGCAAAGGTGAGTGGTCCAGGACAGGGCCTCACCTGTATTATCCCTCTGAGTTTTCTCAGTTGTGGGACATGGAGATAGGTATGTGTATTAGTCAGGGTTCTCTAGAGTAACGGAACTTATGGAATGTATTTATATATGTGTGTGCATATATATGTATATATGTATGTACATGTATATATGTATGTACATGTGTGTATACATGTATATATGAATTTATTGGAATGATTTATATGCTGTTGTCCAACAATGATTAGTTGTGAATGGGAAGACCAAGGAACCAGTAGCTGCTCCGTCCACGAGGCTGGGTGTCTCAGCTGCTCTACTGGGATCTCGAAGACAGAAATGAATGTGTGACAGAGGTGAGGGCAAGCAGGTGAAGGACACCTTTCCTTCTTCCATTGTCCTTACACCGACTTAAAACAGAAGGAGTGGCCCAGGTGAAAGGTGTGGATTCCTGCCTCATGGTCTGCATCAAACGCATGCTGTCTTCCTCCCTCAAGATTCAGATCACAAGTGTGCCCTCTGTGTCTGCATTATACTTCATTCCAGATACAGTCACTCCAGTTCACAGCCAAGAACAGCCAGCATAGGAAACATGTGCAGGGCAGAGAACAGAAAACAGAAGGACAGAAAGGAGGCTGAACCCACCCAGGACTGAATCTGCTCCTAATTCCTTAGAGTCCCAGCTGGAAATTAGAAGATCAAGTGCAGATGAACACAGCCTGCTCCTGAGGAATTCAAGGGGCCAAAAGAAAAGTGGGGATCAGAGAGATAGTTCAGTGGGAATAGGTGTCTGCAGCCGAGCCCAATGGCCTGAGTTCATTTTGGGGACACAAATTCTGCAAGTAGAATACTGACTATAGAAATCTGTCTTCTCCTCCTTAGGCACAAAACTGTCTGTTAGTCCCCAGCTGACAGAACTCCAGGGGCCAGCATCCCTCACCAGGGTGGTGAGTTTCCATCAAAGTAGGAATTGGTGGCCACACATCCTGCATCTCATCCCCTTCCCTAACCATGGCCTGGGAATCAGAGAGCAGGGCTGCAGGCCTGTGCTGTGATATACCCCGTCCATGGACAGGTGCAGAAGAGAACCCCACTTCTGCCATGTGTGCTCTGACTTCCTTTCCTAGGAATCCAGTGAATTTGTCAGGCTCTGGTCCTGAGATCCCAACTGTGCTGTTACCTATATGTCAATTTTTAATAAATGTCTTCCTCCAAGACATGATCTCATGTCTCTCTTAATGCAGCCCAACACACAGACATGAGACCTTACAGAACAGCAGATTGTGTCCAGGAGCAGGGACACTGAGAGAGGCAGCGACCATGGTCCACACTGAGAACCACTGCATGAGAACCCTGTTCCTCTCTCCTGTTCTCCCTGGACACTGACATCTCAGCCACACCCCAGACCGTTCCACACTCCTCCAGAGGGAACAGACCATGGCTTGACTGGTTGGCAGGTTGGGCTACATTCCCTCACAGGCCCATCTACAAGCACTTGCTTTCCTTATTTCCTGACATGTGGATGTTCTGACCTCTGGGGTCTCCCCTAGGACAAGACTTCCTTCCCAAGTCTAATCTGTCTTAACATTTGATAGTCAGAGGGTCAGCTTCTACCAAAGAGCATGCTGGGACATAAGGACAGCATCCACACTGACTAATAAGAATGGAATCCAGGCTGCTTTCACAGCCAGAAGAAGTGCATGGGCATTTGGCAGTGTGGCTGTAGTTGGCCCCCATATGCCCATAGGGAGTGGCACTATTAGGAGGCATAGTTTTTTTGGAGTGGGTGTGGCCTTGTTGGAGGAAGTGAGTCATTGAGGGGGTGGGTTTTAGGTCCTATGCCCATGATGCACTTTACCAGAGGTACTGTTGTCTTCATGTTACCTGTGGATTCAGACAGAGAAGTCTCAGCTCCTTTTCCAGCACCATGTCTGCCTGCACGCTGCCATGTCCACCATGAAGATAATGAACTAAACCTCTGAAACTGGAAGCTACCCCAAATTATTTCCTTTATAAGAGTTGCCATGCTCATGGTGTCTCTTGACAGCAATAGAAACCCTAAGACAGGCGTGCTGATTCAGATCCACCAATCACAGTCCTGCATAGATGCAGCTCTGATTCCATCAGTGAGAAGTCTTGAATGTGAATCTATCAGGGGCCTTTGCTGAGTCATTGGAAAACTGTCCCATCCCCATGGGAGTAGCTGAAGCTAGGAGGGGTGATGGAGAAGTCACCAAGGCTTCTCATGACTAAAGTAGAGTCTCCTGGGGCAGCTGTGACATGTCTGCTGTGGTGTAACTAGATCCAAGCCTCTGAGGCTGAACTCAGCAGCAGGTGTGGTCACAGTGATCTTGGCAGCTGGGGTGGTGTCTCCTCTGAGCATCCCTGTGGTGTTCACACAGCAAGATGCCATGATAACCATCTGTCTAGTCATCTAAAGCATGATTCATATCCTTCACTCAGGCAGCTGGGCACAGAGAAGGGACCTCATGGATGTTACTCCAGTGATCACGTGAATTGTCATGTAAGTTTCCCTTGTTCAAAATGGAGGAACATCAAAGGGGCCCACAGCAAAGGCTTACACAGAAACAACATTCTCAGTAACATTTAGGTCAAATTCCCTCAGGGTGAAGGAAACATGACTGTTTGAATTGGAGCAGACATGGGGTCTAACCAGACTACCAGTTTGGAGATTTTTGTTCCTAGTCAGAGCCAGTCAGGAACAAAAAGTACTAGAGGAATCTGGGCATAGTGGCACAAGCCTTTAATCCTAATGATTGACAGGTAGAAAGAGCAAGATTATGAATTGGAAGTTATTATTAGTACCTATAGAGTATGAAGCCAGGCTGGGATACATGAGACTCTGTCTTGAAATCAACAAAGCAAAGGTAACCGAAACTCCAGACAGTACAGAGAGGTCCTGGAGGCAGGTAATCCATTAGTTCACTTTGGATGGAGACAGAAAAGTTAAAGACATAGCCAGTTTTCCGTAAGATTCAATGAAATAAATTATGTGACTATTAATAGCTTCATTTAAGCAATACAGGCAGGTGAAGAGGAGATTGAGAGTTTCTCAGTTTCTGTGACCTCAAACCCAATGACATGTGAGTTCCTTCCTCTGCCTTGGCTATCTGCAGAATCTGGGAGACTTCATACAAGAGGAGTAGGTGACTAAATTGGTCACCCCACCACTCACTGGACTTTAGGACACAGTAGAGAATCTCTTCTGGGGGCTCCCCTCTACAAGGGTGCAGGGAGGTGCTCGTGCTGAGGTTGGAAGATGAAGATGATGATGTCATGCTAGGGGAGAAAAAAGGGTTCAGATGGGGGCGGGGCTACGATGCCACTGTAAAGTCCTAGTGCAGCCTGAGTGTCCTGTCTACACCACAGGTCATCATCTTCCACCCTCTCTCTAGCATCCCCTCAACTCTCTGAAGGACCAAGTCTGGCCAGATACTCTGGGTTCCTTCTGGGCTGCATTAGTTGTCCCTGGGGAAAAGAATTCAAGGAGTGGGAGAGTGGATGGTATGACAGATAGGTGGACAGATGGACAGTTTTCATCTATGAGTTGTCTGCTGGGGTGGGGCCAATCTGTCCTTCACTGCTATTTGAAGGAAGTTTCTGGAATTGGATTATTTACACAGAAACAGGAATGGTTGAGTCTATTCTCTGTTATCACTGTCAAGGGAAAACACAGCCGGGTATAAAATCAGGGTCTGAATGCTGGGGACACGATCAGGAATTGGAGTCTGAAGAGTCATAGAGGCTGACCTCAGGAGACCGTGTTTACTCAGGATGAGGACTGGGCAGACATGTGGGGCACATCAGCTATGGATGTCTCCCTGCATGACATGTCTGTGTCTGTATTCGGGTGCACATGTGTGCATGTGTGTGCTCATCTGTGTGGAGGCCAGAGGACAACATCAGGCGTGACTACTCGGGACACATTCACCTTGGATTTCTTTGTTTGGTTGGTTGTTTTGGTTTTTATGAAACAAAATCTATATAGCCATTGCCGGCCTTGAATGTGATAAATAGACCAGGACAGCCTCAAACTCACTAAGGTCCACTCGCATTTGCATTTGCCTCTGTCTCTGCCTCCCCAAGCTGGAATTAAAGGCATGCACCACCATGCCTAGCCCACTTTAAATTTAGTTCTTAAAATTACACTTATTTATTCTGTGGGTGCAGGGCACACTTGTGCTACACCCTGAGCAGCAGCCAGGTTCTAACACTGCAATCTGACACTCCCCACGGTCACATGTATGTAAAAGCCCCATGTGTGCACACCACAGCCCCAGGCTGCTCTTCCACAGAAAGTGCCCATCCCCTGTGAAAGCATCATGGCTGCAGGGCCCAGTCACTGCTATTGGGGGAAACTGGGTTCTCACTACAGGAAAATGATTACAGCCTGCTGGACAGAAATCATCCCACACCAAGGTCTCTATGGGGATTCAACTGAGTCCAGGACTTGAAATTAGAACAGAGTTCATGATTTGGGATTGAGGGGCCAGCAGGTGGCAGCAGTGAGGCTGAGCACAGGGACAGCTGATATCTTGAAGGACCAACAGTGTACAAAATGCTGGAGAACAGCAGCTGGTACATGGCAACGTCATCGGGCCCAGGCCTTCCTTGAGAGACTTAGCAATGGGGTGACCCTCACCCACACACCCTAGACAGTAGAGCAAGGCCAGATGAAACCTGGAGGTGAGTACATAGGATCAGGAGGCCCCTCTCACTCCTCACTGAGACTAAAGACAAGGTTCATCTGGAAGAGTGCTTACCTGCCCGGTGTGCTCAGTAGTCATCCTCGGCTACATAACAAGTTCAAGGCCCAGCCTGGGCTACATGAGACCTCATCCAATAAGGGTGGACTTTCTGACAGACATGATAGGCCCAGTCCCCTTTCCCGACTGATGGACTGTTTGAGCCTAAATCATCCCAAAGGTTGTGAGCTCAGTGTCTCCAGTGATGGATAGATACAGAAGTGCGTCCATGTGCAGCTGGGAGTGTGGCCATGAGAGCTGGTGCCTGTATCAGAGGACCGTGGGGACTGTGAGGAAGGCAGAGAAAGCAGACATGACAAAGGGCAGCTGCATAGTCACCTGAGGGAGCATGGAGAAGGCAGTCAGTGCCAGGAGATCTAAGGGAATGGGAAGTCGCCTCTGCAAACGTCACTCAGGGAGAATGATGCCCAGTAGCAGATCCATGGCCTTGACAGGAGTTCAGAGGCTGCACCGAGCAGGCAGCCGGAGGTCAGTGTGGACTGGAGGAATACAAGAACTCAATGGGACTGAAGTCCAGTTACCTGTCCTGGTCCAGTCATGTGACATATGCCAGGCCTTCTCTGATCCTTGGTTTCTGCTTCTGAGTGTGTGTTAAGGATGGTGGGAGGCAGAAAGGCTCATTCAGAAGCTAGAGTAGCGTGAGAGTCACTGTCGAGGTCAGGGGGACAATCACCCAGGAATCTCAGGGAAGGAACAGACTCGGCAGCAGCAAGCAGTCAGGGTGAGAGTGTCCATGGAGCATTGCTTTTCCTGGGGTGCTGTGAAGAGTCCCTGAAAGGGAACAAGAGGGCAAAGAGCAGATGAAGGTGGGGTCACCATTCTAGGGCTGGGGACTGAATGTGTTTCCTCATCGCCTCCTTCCTCGTTGTGTCTGAAGTGAGCAGAAACCAATCAGTTCTTCACCTATGATCATTAGAGAGAAAGACACAGACAACCAGCACGAGGGGAGACATAGTGAGAAACAGTCTGAGGGGAGGGCAGGAGTGGAGGAAATCAGAAGCTGAGGAAACAGTGATTGCAGGCTGCATAGGGAATGGGAAAGACTGCATGAGACAGGAGGTCAGGGTGGAAGAGAGGAGAGCCCGGCATGCAGAGGTCAAGGCTGCATCTTCCAGCCAAAATAGGAGCTAGGCTCAAGGACACAGTCACCTTCTCAGTGACCACAAACGCGGCTCTTCTGCAACATGGGAAAGAAGAAGCCAGAGTGGTAAAGGAAGTTGCTGGCCATGAGGAGGTGGAGATGGGGAGGTCCTGCCCTCACTCAATCCTCCACATACAGCTCAGGGGATGAGATCATTTCTGCTCTGATTTTCTCCTGACTCCTGACCACCCGCAGGGACCCTCTAGAGGATCTGTTCTCCCTCCTGATGTC